AAAAAAAAAAGCATAAGACTGCTGATGACAACTTTTCCAAGGAACTGCATGAACATCAGGAAACGCCCCCCCAAAAATAATAAGTTGAGGAGCATTAAAAGTAAAGAACAGCATGTTTTAATTCACATCTTCAGAGGAAACTTTAAGAACCTCATGAGATGACCCCGAAAAATAAGACTTGATCCCCCGCTACTCCTCTAAAGCGGCTGGAGACAGGCCTTCACAATAAGAGCCGTGATCTGGGTTCATTTCTCAGGGAAACGACAACGCGGTGACGGAGCTGCAGACTCCGTGGCTGTGTGTCCGCAGCACCCCTCCTCCACCCTGCCGTGTTACCCTGGAGCGGGGAGCCACCTGCCGGGACGAAGGGAGAGCTCCGGGCCGGTAGCACATGATGCCGCGAGGCAGGCTTTTACTCCCGCGTGCAGGCTGGGGCATCCCCCACTTCCTGTGTCCGCGCGGCGCTAAGTCTTCAAAATTAAAGTGGCGTGTTTGAAAATGAACTTAAAAACAAGAAATCCGTGTTTTTCCAGACAGAAGCTGGGGTTATAATAGTAATCTAAAAGAGATATTAATGAGCTGCCGTTCTGTAGAAAAACAATCAAAAGTTGACACAAAAATTCTATAATTTTAATCAAGGAGTAAATGCAAGCTAAAAATACCTCAAAAGAAAAAAAAAGTTTATTTCTAATAACTCTGGAATAAGAGAAAAATAATGTAGTAAAAAGGAATAATATAACGACTTGATTGATTGAACGACCAAAAGACCTTCTGTTAATTGTTGTTTCACAAAAATTCACATAAAATATATATTTCCTGAATAAAGTTATGTCAACATTTTAAATATATAGAGAGAGATTTTTATGTTGTTGTTTCGTAAAAAAAAAAAAAAAAACTTCTTTCTCTACAGGTCGCCACTTTATGACCATAAACACAAACACCGACTTTAAAACAGAAACGTTTCCAAACGCCAGCTTTTATTTTGAAAACAAACTGGTACGATTAATAAAATACAAAGGAAAATGCGAGAAGTAATCGAAAGTTTAATACGTACTGGAATGTAAGATTGAGTGTAATTTTTAAAGTTTTGACAGATTTTTTTTGTTTTTTGTTTTTTTGGTCTTCATTCTGTCATTCATCTTTTTTTTAAATCATGCATTGATTTGCGGCGAGGCACTTTAGATTTTGATATGTGAAAATGTTTGCAAAATTTACTTACGTTCTTACTTGCTTTTATTAATAAAGTACTTTGTTTAGAATTGAACTGGTGCTGAATGTGTTCTGATTCGATTCTTAATGCAGTGCGAAATGCGCAAAAGCTACGAAAATGACGCACAGGACGCGCCTGGAGTTGCGATATTCAGAGAAGTCACGTGGATTTCAATTTGTTTGTTTTTATCTGCTATTCTGTTTGTGAATGTTTCTAAGTTTATTTCTAAAACATCAGCGCTGAAAACTAGATCAAAGCAACTAATTGATGTCAAATCAGAGGCACTAAAACTATTTCTATATTTTTTTTTTCTTTATTATTTCGATGTTAAATAACAAAGCGTTTTTGGTTTTAGTGTAAAAGAATAAACTTCATGGCTGCCTGGACACATTTATATTAAGTTTTGCATAATTTTGGCTATAGGTGCCAAATGTGAGTATTTTGGGAAAATCCTATTTTAAAATTATTTTTTGTGTTTGTTTAAATTGCTGAATATCTGTTAGCTATGGTGAGGATTGAAGTTAATGATGGCATTCATTTAAAAAAAATGATATGTAATTGTTATAAATAGATATTAGAAATAAATGGTCTTGGAAAAGCATTTTTTGTTTTCAAGCAACAGAGGAAGAACGCTAGATGAAGGAAAGACCTGATGGCAACAAGATGGTTTAACTGGTTGGAAGGAAAACATGAAGAAACACTAGAGGAGGTTTGCTCAACAGGTTGTGTGAAGAGATTATATGAGAAGGCCACCTGCATCCAGAGATGCACAATAAAAGTTCAGAACATTTAAAAAAAGATCCAAACTCAGAAGTCAGGCCAATATGTCTCATTTAACCCTAAATGTGAATATGTTATTCCAAAAAGAGTTAAAAAAAAAAAAAAAAGACTCAAAACTTGTGATTTGGGAATACAAGAAGCATTGAGGTCATTCTTGGTACATAGAGTTATTTTTTTGTTTGTTTGTTTTGTTTTTAGAGGTTTTTTCAGTGATCACAGACTGCTGAGTCAGGAAAAACAAGTTTATATTTAAAATATGGTTGTTAATAAGATAGATAGATGATAGATAGATAGATAGATAGATAGATAGATAGATAGATAGATAGATAGATAGATAGATAGATAGACGTGACTTTAAGAGCTCTTTCTTCCTCTTTTGCATGATTAGCCTTAAGCGGATGAACCATTTGCTTAAAAACCTTCCCAAACTGCGGCGCCTGTCATAATGAGAGAGCAAAAATCCACTTCATGCCAACTAAAAGCCTTTTCCATCCTTCCTAAAAGGTGCTTCAAGGCAGGTAATAAATGTTATGGCGCACTGATGCTTTTTTATGATTTAGAGTTTGCTCGCACTTGAAGGCCATTGGAGGCATTTTGGAGAAAGTTTCATTCATTCAGTCTTCCTCCTCCTCCTCCTCCTCCTCTTCCTCAGCAGCAGCAGGAAGCGGAGGCCTTCACATTAACACCCCCGGAGTCAGCACTAATGAGGGCCTCAGCGGCTGCCCTAGGCTCCCTCCCCCTCCCCCCCCACACACACACACACACCTTCTTTCCATGCACGACAAAGTCTGTTTTTTTGTTTCTGCATGTGACGGTGGTCTTACTGCCACAAGTGGTGGCGCGTGAAGTTCCTGCGTGCTTTTCAGCAGCAACAAGTCTCTCTCGCTCTCTTTTATTTTTTTAACATGCTGATAGTAAAGTGAAAAATAACGGGAAAGGCCTTGACACGGCCACTACTCGTTGAAACTGAAATGAAACACATTTGAAGCCCTTTCCCACTTCACTATATGTTGTTTGGCTTTGAGAAGTTGCATCAGCAGCTGTGTTCCTTTTGCAGCCTGCAGTGCATTTTCATAAAAACGCTGTCATTACTGACACCCTGGTCTAATGGGTCAAAGGCTCAGCAGTAGTTTTTAGCTTCTTCTTGTATAGTTTGGCTCAAATGTTAACTTCTGAAAAAGAGAACGTGACGAAAAATAAACTTTAGCTATGAAAATAACAGCTTAGCCTGTATGTCTCTCGTGATAATATAAGTTGTAAAATGTAACTCTAAAAATGTGACTAACATTCAGTGGGGTTCTTGTTTGTGCCCCTCATTCTGATTTAAATATTTAACTTTTTAGTTTCTTTTTTTAAAAAAAACACATGTATTTATAGTTTTCGCCAACTCAAACAGGGTTTCAATGAATCTGTGATCAGAGTGGAATAGTTCAGTCCAGGTTTTGATGTAACCATAACTTCAGGAATATGGATATTAATTCACATCCAGAAAAGGTTTGAATGGTTCATGACTAAATTTAGTCCAGAAAACTGTTTAATTCAGAGCTGCTTTGGAAATCTGAGAAATAGATAAATGTTAGCTTTAAAAGTCGACATTTTTCCTTATAATACGTACACTGGATGCTCAGCCCTCTTTTAACTGACCGAACTTATCATTTAGGGACAAAAAATCTTCTCAGGGTGCCTCTGACAAATGTCATCTTTTTTTTTTATCTTAATGCCATCCCCAATCACAGTGGCGCCCCAGGCAGAGAGCCACCTTAACTTAAAAAATAGCTGCAATCTAAACTCATTAATGTGCCTCCTCTGCTTTCTTGAGTTTCCTAAAAATATGCGTATCAGACTCTTGACAATTTTCTATTGCTGGCCACTTTGCATACCCACCCCATCCCTTCTCTGTTGGTGCCGCTGCTTTTGGTCGATATTATGTTCAATTCAGTTTAATCATACAGTGTCAATTCTAAATAAATCACATTTGAAAGCAATTTATAAGACAAACAGGTCCAATTTGTATACATAAATGCACAATCAAGTCAATCCAATCATGTTGTGTGGACAGATTCAAATTAAATTGCATACATCAAAGCTTCATCTGAGTTATAAAAAAATAAAAAGCGCAGTCAAATTCAGCTTTGTCCCTCCACTATCAACATTTATATGAATAAAACATTCAGTTTTTTATAAATCAAAATCTACTTCAGTTTGATTGTTGACATTCAGCAAATTTGTCTGCTGGGTTAACTTTACAGCTTCGTTTTACAGTGTTTTTAAGACTGAACAATTTTTATTTTATTTTTTTTTTTTTATTCCTGGCTCATTCCAAACATAAGAGTATTTATAAGGAACATTTGTGAGGGTTTGTTTTACTTTGTTCAAAAGAAATAAGACGCAACTCGTCCATGTCCTCCATGATAAAAGCCTCCATTGTAACGCTGATAGCGCTGAATTGGTATTTACTCGTCTAATCTGCAAGGTGTACATGGAGACTGTGCGCTCAACTCCGTCCTGTCTGAACATAAGCCGAGATAAAATAAAAAATAAAAAAAATTAGTTAGGCCAGTTAGGAGTAATTTTACAGTAATGTATCAATTATATTTTAATTATCCCATTCCCTTTTTTGCTCTGTGTGTTTAAAGGCTTCCCTGGCCCAACCTTGTTTGTATTTCATATCTTTCTCGCCCTAAATTTAGCTGTTTTCAAGCTAACTATAAGAAGCAGCTTGGGGCGGAGCATCAAAGCCCCTCCACCCCATCTCTCCCTCTCTCTCCCTCTCTGATTGGCTGAGAAGCACATCAAAGACTCCGCGCACACCTGTGACCTTTATAATTCAGTGTTTACCAATCAAACGCACCTGTAAGCTATCCACATACGCAACACCTCAGATTAGCATTAATAGTTTCTAACCGAGTAAAATAGCTCTTCGTTTGACGTCATGGCTATTTTAAACGAACCGTGTCGTACTTTCGGCAGAGCTCGGAGCCAGAAAGCCCGTGTTCTTCGCTCTTCCTACCTGTGTTTCCGAGAGGTTCAGCTGCCGGGCCAGCTCCGTGCGCTCCCGGCCCACCACGTACTGGCACCGCTGGAACTCCAGCTCCAGGCGGTACAGCTGCTCGGCCGTGAAGGAGGTCCGAGTGCGTTTGGGCCGGTCCAGGTCCAGGCCCTTAGGCAGGACGATCTCCCGGATGGTGCCTTTGGCGTCTGTGCAGGTGTTGGAAAGCACAAAGAGTCGGTGTATTCCCGCACAACGTGGTTTATGACGATGATGAACTCATGAGCGGCTGGTGTCTTGTTATTATAGCCGGGAATAAAAACCAAACTGAGCAACAGCTCGGTAGTTTCAGGAAACAGAAATACAATTGCCTACTAGGCTGGTGTGACTCAGGCCTATATACGGTGCCACACTGATGTAATATTTATGAGCATACACATAAAGGCATATGGCTGCAGGGCTCACAAAAGCATGAATGGGCAGCTGATTGTGCCTGCTGTAAAAGCACATAGAAAATTACATCGTAGGCGTTTACATTAAAGCTTACAGAAAAATAAGTCTAAATACCAGTTCATATGGAAAATATTAGTTAGTTTAGCTCCTGCACACGCACACACATATATGTATATATATATGCAGTATATTTTATCTTCATTACCGTGTTCCGTGTTTTATTGGCAGTGTCATGTTGGCACATAGGTTTTACACACAGGAACGAATTGCCCTAAAGCCCTTCGACTACTTGCCCAAAAGCTTTTTTTTTTTTAATTAACAATAAAAATCCAAGTTTGCTTTATACTTAATGACATTTTTCTCGAGTGGTCGGCACCCACGTTTCATGCACGCCTCACTGAGAAACTCCATGAATTTATGTTGCGTGCTTTGTCTGATTTAAAGAACGTAATTATAAAGACTTTGACTGTAACACAGCCTGACACAAAGTATTCAGCAAGCTAAACACTGGAGTGCGTATCCTACACTCTGCTTTTAAAAAAAAAAAATATATATATATATATATATATATATATATATGTTTACATATTTTTTTTCTGTGTTGTGCTTTAGTTTGTACAATGAATGGAATAAATAAATAAATAAATAAATAAATAAATAAATAAATAAATAAATAAGCTTTCTCCGTGTGGTCTTATGGCTATAGGCAAGCTGAGATCTGATTGGCTGAGAGTTTCTCTTGATAAGAGCTGAATCAGTGAACCAGAGGAGTGAAGGCGAACAAAGCGACCGGTTTCTGCTTCATTCTGATGGTTTATTATTTTATCAGCTGTAAACATGTGCTTTTATTATTAATATTATTGAAAGGAGTGTCCGTGATTTACCTGAATTCGTCATGTCCTTTTTGTTTTATTTAATTTAATTTAATTTTATTTTATTTTATTTTATTTTATTTAGGTTCATATTTAATTATTTGATTCAATTTACGGACATTTTTCCATGTTACTATGAAATGGCGTGTAAATAAAAAAAAGAAAAAAATAATAATCGTATAAACATAACAATTGCTATTTTCGGGCAAACAGTTAAATTTCAGGTTTTATCATTAATAATATATTATTGATATTTATTTGAAAATCAATAAATAAAGACGCATATTATCTATTTGCTTATTCTTTTTATTTATATATAGATATATTAGATTTACTTATTTATTTGTGAATGTTCCTGTTTATCACAGTGCTTGGACTCTCAGCAGCAGTAGCAGCAGCGGTGAAAAAAAACCCTCCTCTTTGTTCATTCATAAAATATGCAGTCCAATAAAATATGAAGAGAACTGAATTAAATATGAAACAGAAGCAGCTGCACGCGGAGCGAGTGTTTCTAACGGAAAGCAACCTTTAACCCAAGGAGCAAAAAGGCCCAAAATACCTGCAAACATTTATTTATTTATTTATTTATTTATTTATTTATTTATTTGGTGGATAAATGGGTGGATTTTGTGAAGCTTAAGGTAAAGTTTCATCTCCGCTTGTTTGATCGTCATTTGTAGACGTGTTGATGAAATGTTAAGACATTTTTGGCTCCTTATTCGGCTATATCTCCCCCCACTTAATTAAAAAATGAGTCGTAGCTATTTAAGCTGCTATCGACTCCGCACGTTGATTTAATCTGCAGAAATACAGATTAAATGCTAACATTGCATTATTTTATTTTTTACCTCATAGTGTCTCAATTCAGCGAATGTTTCCACAAAAAGACATTACCGCAGGCAAATATGAAGAAAATGTTTGATTTGTTTTTCTTTCTCTGCCTCAAACTGTGCAGCGTTTTTCTAGGACGCAGAGCAGCGGCTATGTAGGGAGACCTGCTGACCTCTCTGTGACCCCGGTCGCTCTCCAGATAAAAAAAAAAAGAAAAAGAAAGAAAGAAGAAGAAAAAGGAAACAACCCGGAGCAACTCTGATTCAAAAACACAATCCCAACTCTGAAAACATTCACTGAATAACAACTGGATTGTGAAACCGGCCCTCATGTCTGATATTTATTTACCTGCTTGTTTCCATTAAAAAGGTAACGCGGTGCGGTGCTGGAGGCTGAATCACAAACCGCAATGCACATCTGATGTTACCGTAACACGGTGTTATCGCCCAGGCGGCCTCGATAAATAAGAACAAATAGAAATATATAGATGATAAGCATAACAATATATGTCCGGGATCATTTTTAATATTTTACGTGCCTGTTAATCACACAGACACGATAATACCACAGAAATAATTTTTTGATTCTGTTTTTTTAGTTTCGCTGTAGCTACTATAGCATTTTAAGGTCGATTTTTATTTTTATTTTTATTTTCATATAAACCAACGCCTGTGATTATTTTTTTCTCACGTACCTTTTTATTTTATTTTTGTTTTGTGTGTGTATGTGTGTGTGTGTGTGTTTCCATTTCTCATTTTTGTCTATTACGCGTTCATCATTGCGCGATTGATTTCAGCAATCTGCTCCTTTAAATCGGCTGTTTCTGCAGCAGCCATCATCTCCTCAGCGTCGCCACGCCGCAGCAGCATGATGAGCAGACATATTGACTCTCTCCGTTTAGGAAATCTGCAATAAACACACAGCTGCAGGGGCAACGTCTAAGGTCTTTATGCTCATTTGAATTTTCACAGCATCAATTTGAAAAAATAAAAATAAAAATAAAAAATAGAGCCGAAACATTAATTAAACTTAAAAAATAAATAAATAAAAAACAAGTATTCGGTGTTATTCGATCATCACAATTAGTTCATATTTTAAGATAAATATTTACTCATACCTTTAAACAGGAATTTGCACGTATGTGTATGACACCGTTTTCTAAAATTGCTTCACATTTCACTAACATTTTACAAGACAACAAACTAAAATATATTTCTGTAATAATTTTGTTTTAATTTTATCGATATAAAAATATCTAATTATATAGTGTAGATTATTTTTTACTGAACTCTAACAGAAGCACACATATTCTAGGCTGTTTAAAATATAATAATAATAATAATAATAATAATAATAATAATAATAATAATAATAATAATAAATACACTCGCCGGGTTTCTGTGTGTGTGTGTGTGTGTGTTTTAAGAGCTGCCTGTCCTGTAGTGACCTCCTGCAGGAGGGTGTGGATTTGAATTCAATTTTATGTTGGCTTCCTTTAGTAAAAAAAAAGTCACAAAAATACAATTTGATTGTATGTTGATGTTTTTGTTGGTTGGGGGGGGGGGGTCCCCTTCAGTTTCTGTTGATGTAATGCTGATGTGTTTATTTTTCGCACGTTAATAAATTCAAGAAGATTAATTTTAGTCTGTAGAGTGTTTCTGAGTTTCTTCTTATTCTCTGGCAACAAACGTTTCTTACTTCAAAGTTGGATATATGTTATTAAAAGAAATCTGCACGACGGAAACGTTATTGATTAAACCAATCATTTAAACGTTCATAGCAACTATTTAGGCTGCACTAATAAAGTGTGTAATTAGCCTATTCTGCTCATATTATTAGACATAAATATCCTACTTATGCGTGCATGAAAATAATAATGTGTTAAACGTTCGTGTATCTATAATTTATACGCTTTATTAGCTGCTGAAGCTGCTGGCTGTAAAAACATTTGGAGGTCTCTGCAGTCCTCCCAGCAGCAGAGGTGCTCTTCTGTTGCAACTCTGACAGAAAGTTGAGTCTGTACAGAAACACTGCATCTCTTTAAACCCAAATTGTCGTTAGATTTCTTTTCTTTTCTTTTTTAGCGCAAGTCTTAATATATTTCTAAATGAATCACAGTAGCGCCTGCGAATTAAAATTCGTTTTTAACATCATTTGTGACCAGAATTACAGCTAGAACAGCCCCCTGCACCCCGCCCGCTGATTTCCCATGTTTTGGTGCTGATAGTTTGAGTGAACCGTGGAGCCCACTTACCCCTCACTAATATCCGGCGACAGTAGTCCGGGTCCACTCCCAGAAGTTTGTCGTGCCCGTCCTCGCTGGAGGACGTCGGCGTGGACGCGGAGGTCCCCGGAGTGTCGGTGGAGCTCTGCACGGGGGACCTGCTGCCCATGTCGGGGCGGCACTTGCCCTCCATCCTGTCCAGCGGGTTGGGTCCACAGCGGTGGCTCCCATCGCCCATAGTCGTGGCCTGATCGAACATCTACAACTAAGTTAGAGTCTCTGTGAGGGCGAAACCTTCTCCTTCCTTTCTTCCTTCCTTCCTTCTCTCTAGTCGCTCTTCTCTACTTTCTGCTCTTTGCCAATGTTCTCCAGAGACGAGCTGAGCATACCCACCTCTCCCTCAAAGCAAAGACAGAAAGAAAAAAAAAAAAACAAGTAGATCCACTTATAAAGACACGTCGCGGTCCAGCAGCGGAACCGATTTGCACTTCAGGTGTGGCGGCATGACGCACCGTCCAGAGTCGGAACCTGGAGGAGGGTTAGCCGGCCGGCTCAGGGGAGGAAACCTCGGGCTGTTATTATTATTATTATTATTATTACTACTACTACTACTACTGTTATTATTATTTACTCAAGCTGCAGCAGCCAGGAGGTGCAGGTGGAGATGCATGGTGAAGATCTGTTGAGGAGCAGGGAGGCGCCACAAACACGCTCACACACGGAGGAAGGAAGAAAAAAAAAAGTGAGAGGCGACGCGCAGGAAAAGGATGGAGAGGGGGGAAAAAATCTGAGCAGCGGCTACAGTTCAAAACAAAGCAGGGAAAGTTTCAGCTGGTTTGTCCAGATCAGCTTCACTTCCATTCATACCAGCTGCCTGTGCGGATCCTTGGCGTGTGTGTTGGCGGTGCCACATGAAGGGGGTCGGCACACAGAGGAAGAAGAAGAAAAAATAAAAATAAAAAAAGATGTCATAGATAGAGAGCCCTTCTAGGTGGGGACTGGAAGGAAATGGGAAAACACCAGCGGGCGCCTCGACAAAGTTTGGCGCGCGCTTGTTAGGTTTTGTTATTACTATTATTTTTCTGTCATTTATAATTTGCGTGGCGAGCAGAACCGTCAGGTTCCACTCCGTCTCCACAAACACAGAGCAAATAGGATGGCGAGGGGAGGACGTGTGAATAATGTTTCTGCTGATACGCTCTGTTTTACAGAGGCAGGATCTCCACACGTCATTTCCTGCCGACTGCAGGCGCGTCGCTGATTGGTTGGCGGGCCGGGCCGGTTTTTTTTTTTTTTTTTTTTTTTGACAGGGTAGGGGCGAGGAGAGATGAGATGATGGTTGTGAGTTCAACTCCGCGAACCGCAACCCACAGGTGCGTCTCCATTAAAACGTTTAGAAATTAATTTCAATAAATAGTAAATTACATGGATTGGTAACACCGAGAGAATGTTCATTTCTATTCGTTTTTTTGCTGATTGCGACTTAAAGAAAACCCCAAAATTCAGTTTTTCACGGGAGTTGAACGCTACACAAGAGGGATAGAAAAGGATGTGTGTTGATAGGGAAGATAGCTGACACGGTTGAAAACCGACACCCGCCAAAACAAGAAGGAGAAGCCACTGCTGAATATGTTGGTTTTCCACAGAGTGTATACTTTATGGGAGGTTACGTGAAAACAAGGTCCATTCAAGGGAGAAACACTAGACAAGAAACTTCAAGAGCCTCCAACACAGAGGTGTATCCAGGACATGGACGACATCTGTCACATTCCTCGTGTTAACAAGCCGCTGCTGAACCAGAAACAACTTCAACTTCACCTGCGTCTCACATCAGCGTCTCATTCAGGAGAAAAAGAGCCGGACTGCTGCTCAGTGGTCCAAAGCCCTCTTGTCAGATTTTGTTTCAAACTTAAGGGCCAAAGCTGCTTGAGGCTCAGTGTGAAGTTTTCACAGTCAGCGATGGTTTGTGGAGTCATAACATCTGCTGGAGGTTTTGGGGTTTTATTCGCTGTAAATCATATTAAATATTTGTTTTTTAATTGTTGAAATTAATCCCTTGAATTTATCCAACATTTCCAGTGTAGCTGAGACTCTATGAACTTGAATTTGAATGTGACTGTGATTATACTGGAATGAATTGAATTTGGGACTACATATGAATTGGACCTGTTTCTCTTGTAAGGTGGTTAGAGATGACATTTTGTTTTAATCTGGTCCTATAAAAAATTTAATGTATAGAAATGTGTCACATGGTGCTTTACAGAACTATTTACATCTACATATTCCTTTTTAAAAAAGAGAGAAACTGTGCACTTTAATGAACCAAAAAGTGCCCTGTAAAAAGAACAAATACTAAATATTACCACTTAAAATTATTTAAATTTGAATTAGAGACATTATTGTATAATGTTAATTAACTGTTAAATTATATTCTGCAACCTGAATATGTCGGTTAAATCAGCTGTCAATCTCCTTGGTCTCCATGGTAACTGATACAGAGAACTGTGAGGTTAATATGTTTTTGTGTGTAGGCTACTATTAAAAATTAATATAAAACTTTGTCAAACTTAAGAGACTGTCAATAGACTTGCAGTTGGGGAAACTTTCTGTGCTGCAGCATAAATGGACGTTTGTGTTCAATTCAAACCCGTTCAGCTAATGCTAATGCTAAAACCTGCTAGCTTGATGTTTAGATTGACAACCAGAAAGTTACGTTTCTTAACCTTAAGATAGTTTTTAAGTTGAGTTTTGTACTGTCAAAACTTACTAAGAGTTTGACAGTACAAAACTCTTACTGTTTGTGTTGGAGCAAAAATTTAACCTTTTTAGCCATTGCGTTAAAGCTAACATCCAACTTGCTAACAACTTTAGCAAGTTTTATTATGTCACTAATGTTTTATACCCCGTAGTTACAAAGACTTGGGGTTTTTTTTCAACAAGACTAAATAAATGCTATAAACAAAATTATGCTAGTTTTAGAATTTAAGCACTTTTGCTAAATAAGTAGTAATATTTTGAAATTGGTTAGAATTTAATTTATTTCTTGTCCTTTTCTAGTCTCTTTTAGCCATTAAACTCACACAATTTCTGCTCAGAAATACTAATAAAAATCTAAACCCAATAACATGAATGGATGTAAATTGCTAAACCAAATTTGGCGAGATGAATGCAAACATTTTGTATAAGAGTATCATTATTTATGATTAAGGTTCTTTCTGAAGACAGAGCTCCAACAGTAATGTTCTGGATCTCATCTTCAGGCACAATTTTATTTATTTAGTCATTCGTTGAATAAAATGCATGAGAACATTTTTGTCCGTTTCAGTGTGTTTAACCTTCATCTCCATTCTCAGTATCTTGTCTCAGCCTTCTGTGAAGATCCACATTCCAAGACGAATACCATCCACATATACGGCAAATAAAAATATGCTGATCATCTGGATGACATGTAACAGGTCTGCATCCCTTCACACACAGCTGCTGAGACACAGTACAATCCGCAGCTCAGCAGACTGTACTCCGTAAAGCGAGAAACACACTCCCAAATAAAGGCGTTAGCGCATAACCGCAGTGATAAACCTGCACAACTTGATGTTAGTGAGGATAAAGCGTCTCATTCAGCCCATCCGGTGTATGTATGCAGAGCAAGTCTTGAGCAAGCCCTGCTCTATTTCCCTGCCAGCTTGATGTTGATGCTGCAGCCTGCAGTTTGTTGTGATTGTGAGATAATTTTGGTTGTAGGGGGACAACTGAAACGCGGGGCGGAATTTCCTCTTTACAGGTGAAACATCTCTGAAAACACAGCGCAGAGAGGGCTTTTTGAGCATGGATTATATAATTATAGTTTTGCAGTGTGTGTGTATGTGTGTTTTTTTTTTTTTTCTTATTTTTCCTCATCCGAGGCCATAATTACTGCACACAGCCATGGGTCGTTACTCCTTTCAGCTGGCCTAATCTCACACAGGATGAATAGAAACTGTCAATCAGATGCTGCACTCAGCAGCGAGACAAGAGGGGACTGATTGCTGCTGCTGCCACACACACACACACACGCACACCTACACACACCCGCACACACCTACACAGAGACACACAGAGAGTACACACAGGCTTTCTTCCTCCTTCTCTCTTGTATTTACACTCTCTCTGCCTTCACTGGTGCAGAACCAAAACCCTCCAAAAACATATTTTCCCTCCACATTTCCATATTTTAATATACTAAGGATGCTCAAAACCCAAAATTCAACTTGTCTGTATTATACAAGAAAGGGGAAAAATGCATTCTCCTGGAGGTCTATGAGCTCCTGTGGCTAACGATGGTGTTCTTATCACTAGTTATTGATAAATATAACATGACAAAGTGAAAATAATTCATATCCCTCTGCATTAGATATAAAACTAAAACTGATGGGTCACTAAAGACAGGATCCTGGATGCTTTTTAGACACAGTTCACCTGCAGAAGCATGTCTTTGCTTCATGCCACTTCATTGGGGAGCTGCACCATATAAACTGTAGATTGTTAAATAAAGCTTTCAAATTGTTCGAATTTTATTTACAGTTCAACAATGTCCAAATTCTAACAAAATGATCTGCGTCTTTTTATATATATATATATATATATATATACCTACATGTATTTGAAATGTATATGTGTGTTGAATAAATGAACCCAGTTAGAGTAGACATCAGCCATAAGCGAGGATTTAAGTTTGTATCCAGTTTCAAGTTAGGCAACAGTGTTAATGCTTGAGTCGCATTTGCAACACTATAAAAAGGAATCTTTGAGGATATTAAACATTAGTGATTTAAATTACTTACATTTAAATCCAGTTTAAGTCCAATCTTACCAACATCTGCTGATATTTTTGCCAACAAGTTCAACCTGAGTGTTTTTGATTGGATTTAACATGCAGATGTGAGTTCAGTCAATCATTAGACCGACGGATGTTGTTTTTAGTTGAAAACGGATTAAAGCTCCATTATGAATGAATGTATAAGTATGATAAAAGTTGAGAACTGTCGTAAAACTTGTAGTTTAGTAAGTTTCTGTATTGTAATAAGATTTTAATTCTGCATCCAGCTTTGAACTGTTAAAACAGAGCTAATGCTGATGTCTAGCTAGCACGCTAGCTAGCTAAGCCTCTGTGTCCAGCTGACAAATCGTACAATTTAGCTGTGGTTGACAGGAAAAGACGTTTTTAGGATCAATTTAAAACATTCATTTTCATATCAGTGGCATTTTACACCTCAGTGCTTTTGTTATTTTTTTTGCTTCTTTTGAGCAGAGATCGCAAATCAGATGACCTGACGACAGAAGCAGCAACGGTGTTAGCTAGCCTACTGCAAAGTGGGAGCCCAGTAGGTGTGTGTTGTAATGAAGGAAAGTGTAAATCAGTCGGAGCGTGTATTGCTTTAAATGTGTGTGAAGTGAGATGAGCGTGGATTGAGACATTTTAAATACACTCTTTTATCCTTTTGGTTGTACGGATCTTCAGAAATCCATTTGATTGATGAAGCATAAATTGAACATTTCAGGGAGAATTTATCTTACTCTAAAGTTTAAGTCAATAAATAAAATCCAATTGCACAATAAATTAACTTCAGTTTTTTTTTAAAATACATAAATTTCAAAACGGGATGTAATTAATCTAATTGAGTCTGAGTCGCATAGCTAATCAAAAATCTAACCAAATTGTGTCAAATCTAACAGCTTGATTTTATCAGTGCAGATTTCTATGCTGCTGAGTTTTGCTTAGAGACATTTAGTATCACTGCGATGTACAGTCGATTTTCTGTTCATCTTTTTTTGTTTGTTTGTTTGTTTGTTTGTTTGTTTGTTTTTTCTCTCCGTTGCTTAGTTGGAGGCAGAAATGTTGGCACTTGAAGTGTGGGTCTTTGTAAAACAAAAGAAAAAAAATCTTTCTCTGCAAAAGTCCTCTTACATAAGAACAAAAGTACTTTACTGCAAGTTAAGCCTCATACTACTGCAAGTTACGCATGTAAATGACGCGAATACAGGCAAAATATACACTTTCACTAAATGTGTTCATTGAACGACTAAACACATCTAATGTGAATGCGGTCTTGGAAAAACAGAGCAGTAACTCCACAGGTTTTCTCTTTGTTGCTATAAGATAAAAGGCGCATATAGCTGCTGTCACGTGACGCTGCAGCCCACAGCCACGC